ACCTTTACATATGATCTCGAAAGTATAGTCTTTGATCTTGTTTCGAAGTTTCTTTCATTTTTGGCTCTTAAACTTGAATGCTTAACTTTCACTTTGATTTTCATTTCGAGTCCGATTTATGATGTGTTGATTTAGCAATATTTTATTGATTTTAACATTGAACTATCTTCACTCAAAATCAATTGTTAGAAATAATATTAATCTTGTTTGTTGTGATCAAAATATTAAGAATGAAATTAATCATAAGTCAACAAATCGAATATTCATGGATAAAAATATGTGTATAAAACAGACAATGTCCAAATAGAAACTCTCACTAAACTGACATATCATTAAAAGATGAAACACCTATGTGAGTATTATGCTCAGGAAAGACCTTGATTGGTAGTCATTTAGTAAATTGATATATGATTATGGAGTTTGTCCTAATATATTTTATAGAAACCTAACCACTATGAATTCTTTCCTTGACAACTAGGAATTTAATATCTATACACTTTTACATCATCAGGCTTATGTTGGAATACAAGACTGTTATTGTCACAAAATAACTAAAGCGGTCTTTTAAATCCAGCCAAAATATGTAGCCCAGTGACAATATTTTGCAGTCATATTCCATTATCATAATCGAAATATCCAATGATCTCCGATTGATTAGATTTTCCTGAATGTGATCGTGTAATCCCTAGTTCTCTATAGATATCGAATAACCTAATGACTGTTTTCCAGATTTTCATCCCAGAGTTAATTAAATATCTGCCTAACATTCCAACAATAAACGCTATATCCAAATGTATGCAAACTTAAGCATACATTAAACTCCCAACTGTTGAAGCACGGGTAATTTCGTGTATTTTAGTTTCTTTAAATTCATCATTGAGACTAAACTTGCCTCCCTTAATAATAGGGGTATCACCTGATTTACATATCTGCATCCCAAATCTCTTGAGAACCTTATCGATATAACTCTTTTGTGATAATCAAAAAATACACCGAGAACGATCCATGTGTATTTATATCCTTAATACAAAAGAGGCGTCACCAAGATTTTTTATTTCAAAATTTCATAATATAAATTTTTTGGTTTCGTACAATAAGTTTATATCATTGTAGATAAACAGTATATCATCGACATACAATACCAAAAAATATGCTTACTCTCACTGAACTAGTGATATACACAATCATCAATTGAATTCATCTCAAAACCAAATGATATAATTATTTGATGAAATTTGTGATACCATTACGGGAAACTAGCTTAAATTTATAGATGAATTTCTTTAATTTGTAAGCCATCTGACGTAACTTAAGATTAAAATGTGTCACATATGTCATAATTGTCCTAAAAGAGTCTTTCATAGGAATTAGAGAAAAACTCTCTTTAATGTCAATACATTCCTTTTGAGTAAAACCATTTGCAACAAGACGAGCTTCATATCTCTCAACATCACCCTTTGAATCCGTATTGGTTTTAAATATTCAATTACAACTAATGGGTTATGCACCTCCAGGCAATAAGATGAGTTCTCAAACGTCATTGTTATTTATGAATTTTATCTCTTTATACATAACATCAATCCATTCTGCAAAATTATTCATTTGCATGATTTGA